TTCATGATGTCAGACATTATCCTGTACATTTGCTGTATTAACTCATTAATGAATTTTTTTTTAGGTTTCAAACTTGGAAAAGGCTGGAATCCTGAACAAAACCAAGGTGTCTGAAAACGGGAAGAAAATTAGGTAAAGTTAGCCATCGTGAACTCAAATCAGTGGTGATAGTAGTTTGAGAGCTATAACTATATTGGTGAAAATGGTAGCACTTTACAATAAGGTTCAATTAGCTAACCTTAGTTACTACTTTATATAACATGAACATGAAAAATACTTCCAAAGCATTAGTTCATCTCAGTTAGTAGAAATTTCAACACGTGTTAATGCATTCAAATAAAAAATTATATCTGTTAAAATATTTAATGGACCTACTGTAACAATGAGCAGTTGTATTTTTATTAACTAACATTAATAACAACGTCAAATGTATTGCTCATTGTTGGTTTTTTATGTCAGTTAACTCATTAACTATCATTCAACAATGGGACACTATTGTAAAGTGTTACCGTAAAAACTGTTATGTCCGTATGTATACCAATCGTCCCACAGGAAGAACTGGAGTAATTCCTGGACGGTTCTCCATGGAGGAATACTGACATTCCATAAGGATCCAAAGTCACCAGTTGGAGCATCGGTGAGAAACAAACCCCCAAATGTGGAATTTGCATTATTTCATTTTTGTTTCACAACACTAAATGTATTTTATATTACGTAGGGCAAAACCAATCAGATAGTCCCAGAATTCACAGTGGAACTGAAAGGGGCAACAATTAACTGGGCAACCAAGGACAAATCAAGCAAGAAAAATGTTTTGGAAGTATGGCCGTTACAGCACTGGATGATCATTCTGTGTACTTTACCTGTGTGTGTTTTCTTGACGTTCCATGTGTGTTTGTTCATTCAGCTTAAGAGTCGCACTGGCGTGGAGTACCTGATCCAGTACGACACTGAGAGCATCATCACTGACTGGTATAAGATCATCACAGACACCATACGCCAGCTGGTGAGTCCAAAAATGAACATTGTCAAAACCTGGTCATGTTTTTCTCTGCATAATCTACAATTGTGTGTTTCTGCGTTGCTCATCTGCGTCAGGATGCCGAACAGCAGCACTCTGAGGATGAGGAGGAAGTCGTTGAGAAGTCCTCAAGCTTAGACAGAGAGGACAGACCCTTCGACAAAAGAACTATGAGCAATGGTAGTGCTTCAAATGAGTCTTAACCCTCTAGTATAAGTGTAATAAGTGTAACTTTTTATTTTTTATGTAGAGTAAGTAATGTATCATATTTTTGGGGGATTATTTATTTATTTATTTATTTATTT